CCATCTCCTCGCTCCCAGCGCTCCCCATCCCCTCTCTCCATCCTCCTCCTCTCACCCACCTGACCGCGCCCTCCGCCAGCTGCAGGCACGCCAGGACCACCGGGAGCCACTTCATGGTGCCGGGCAGCCTGGTGCGGGGCTCGGGAGGCGGCAGCAGCCGGGCACGGCCGCCCGGGTGCCGCTTTTATCCCGGGAGGCAGCGGCGGCTCTGATGTGCCGCTCTCCGCCTGGCACCTCCCGAGCCCGGCCCCAGGGGCCGCTTTGTGCCCGGGGCGATAAGGGCAGCGCTTATCGGGCCGAGCGGCGGCCGGGGCTGCGCTGGCCCGAAGCCGAGCCAGCCCCGCCGCAGCGCACAGCGACCCGCGGCCGGGGCTGGGCACGAAAGGCTTTGTCTGCCTGTCTGCCTGTCTGCCTGTCTGCCCTGTCTGCCTTGTCTGCCTGTCTGCCTGTCTGCCTGTCTGCCTGTCTGCCTTGTCTGCCTGTCTACCTGTCTGTCCTGTCTGCCTGTCTGCCTTGTCTGCCTGTCTGTCCTGTCTGCCTGTCTGCCTGTCTGCCCTGTCTGCCTGTCTGCCTGTCTGCCTTGTCTGCCTGTCTGCCTGTCTGCCCTGTCTGCCCTGTCTGCCTGTCTGCCTGTCTGCCTGTCTGCCCTGTCTGCCTGTCTGCCTGTCTGCCTGTCTGCCTGTCTGCCTCGTCTGCTCTCCTTCCGCCGCCCCACAGAGCGGGTGTGGAGGCGGAGAGGACACGCGGCAAGGAGATGGAGCACATCGAGTTCCTCCTGGCGTTCCCTCCGGGATGGTCCCCAGCTTCCTTCTCTCATTTCCTCCAAGGTGGTCCCAAGGTTCCTTCTCTCATTTCCTCCAGGATGGTCCCCAGGTTCCTTCTCTCATTTCCTCCAGGATGGTCCCCAGTTCCTTCTCTCATTTCCTCCAGGATAGTCCCCAGTTCCTGCTTTCATTTCCTCTAAGGTTGTCCCAAGGTTCCTCCTCTCAGTTTTTCCAGAATGGTCCCCAGTTCCTTCTCTCATTTCCTCCAGGATGGCCCCCAGGTTCCTTCTCTTGCTTTTTCCAGGATGATCTCCAGGTTCCTTCTCTCATTTCCTCCAAGCTGATCCTCAGGTTCCTTCTCTTGCTTTCTCCACGATGGTGCCCCGGTTCCTTATCTCTGTTTTTCCAGGATCCAGGTCCCAGTTCCCTCTCTCATTCCCTCCAGGGTGGTCCCCAGGTTCCTTCTCTCAGTTTTTCCAGGATCCAGGTACCAGTTCCCTTCTCTCATTTCCTCCAGGATGGCCCCCAGGTTCCTTCTCTCAGTTTTTCCAGGATCCACGTCCCAGTTCCCTTCTCTCATTCCCTCCAGGGTGGTCCCCAGGTTCCTTCCCTGGTTTTCTCTGAGGTGGTCCCCAGAGCTGTCCTACCTCCTCCTCTTCAGCAGCATCCCAGACCTTCACTCAAGGACATGAATTCCTTTCCATGCCCTACCTGCTCCTCTTTCCCTGTTTGGACAGAAATCCCACAGTTTTCCCATTTCCATTTATTTTGTGGAGCACACAATTCCCATCCCATACCCAGGTGGGTGCTGTGACCCCCAGGAAGGTGCAGCCCTCAGGGTTTGACCCACTCTCCACATTCCCCACCAGCCCAGAAAGTCAGAAACCTCCTCGTGCTTTCTTTTTCCGTGAAAACAAAAAACCACGAGCACACACTTCCCAAATCACCAACTGTTGGAACTCAAAATGTTCCTCAGACATTTTTGGAGGTTCCAGGCCTTGGTCAGAAGCATTTGAGACCCTGGCAGGCAGCTGCAAACAGCTGGGATTTTGGGTTTGAACCATGGAATGAGTTACCAACTTTGGAGATGGAACAACCAGTCACAAAGGGTTCGATAGGATAGTAAAAGTAGTTACAAAACAGAGGGGAAATTTTTTTAGTATTGTACAGGGGGTTTTAGCACTTGTACAGGGGAGGTTTTTACTTTGTGCATGGGGGTCAGAAGTTCTAAGATGGAGGAAAGTGGGCTGATCCTGTTCTTCCTCCTTCTTCTTCCTTGCCTCCATGTTCTTGGTGATGTTGGCACTCACAGATTGGTTTAGAGTAGAAAAGCACTTTGTAATACAGGTAGTAGGTATTGGGGGAAAACTACAAACATGTAATACGTAATATATCATATAAAAGATAGAAAAGCACCATTTAATATAGGTAATAGGCATTGTGGAAAACTGTAACTATGTCACACGTAATGTACCATATAAAAGATAGAAAATCACCATTTAATATAGGTAATAGGCATTGGGAAAAACTGTAACCATGTCACACGTAATGTACCATATAAAAGACAGCAGCAGCCCTGGCGGGGAGAGAAGAAGCAGTCGGAGTCAGAGAGGATGTCAGGGTGTGTGTGTGCCTCTGCCTGAGCTCTGAGCAAACCACAGCAGCCCCAGAAGAAAATCTTTTAGATAACTTGCAATAAACTGCCTTGAGACTGAACAGCAAGAGCCTGCACAGTTTTTCTTTGGAATCACAGGTTGGAGGAGAAATTTCACCAGCACATGGGAACCCAGAATAAGGCCGGGGTTCCCACAGCCAACAAGCACCCAACCAACCAAAACATTCTGAGTTATAACCCAAATACTCTTTAGAAAATGGACCAAAATGGGTTTGGTCACAATCTAAATATTCTCTAGCAAACAAACCAAAACCTTTTTGGTGATAACCAAACTATTTTCTGGCACGGGGGCTGTTACTCAGGTATTTTCCAGAGCTCCTCCAGGATTGCTCGCATCCCAAATCCAAGCGAGGCAGCTCTTGGAAAAACATCTTCTGCATCCCGTGCCAGCGCGGGTTCCGTTCCCTCGGGAGCTCTGGGCGTGTGTTCCATCTGCCATCCCTCAGAGCTGGGGCAGTTCTCCTCTGCTCATGGAGCATTTCCTTTATCTCTTCCACACCCAATCCTCCCTCCAGGAGATCTCTCCTGTTAATGAACTGTTAATTATTAATTATCTTCTCTTAATGGGCCATTAATTATTAATTATCTTCTGTTCATGGCCAGCGAGTGTCCCTGCATGGCTGAGAAAATTCCATCATCCCATGGGGAGATGCTCCACCCAGGGGAGGAGCCAAGAATTCCTACTTGGATACAATCTGGGATTTTGGGATACCAGAACAGCCTTTGCCCCCTGCATTCCCAGAGGAGCAGCTTCCTTCCCCCTGCATTCCCAGAGGAGCCCAGGCCCATCTCCCCCAGCCCTGGAGCTCCAGGGGAAAACTCCCCCCTTGTGCAGGATCCTGCTCCAGCAGAAGCGCAGTGTCACTGTTGAGGCAGGATGGGAATGAATAGACTTGACTCAGCAGTGAGAGTAAAACTCTGAATTATTCAAAATACACCGCTCTTTTATACAGAGCTCCACAAGGACCAAATCCATTGGTCCTGAAGTGAAAACAACCCAATCCATTGGTGTAAAGTGCTTGACACACAGTGATAGAACTGAACTATAAACAATGTGAACAACAAGAGAGAT